CTGCATCAATGATGTGCAATATGAAAAGTAAACCATATTGTATCAACGAATGAAAAGCAAACCATACTGCAGCAATGATGTGCAATATCAAAAGCAAACCATGCTGCATCAATGACATGCAATATGAAAAGCAAACCATACTGCATCAATGACATGCAGTATGAAAAGCAAACCATACTGCATCAATGATACGTTTCAATAATAGCTTATACGTAAACAAATAAAGTTCAAAAATCACTTTTTTTTCTTTCAAAGTGACTTCCATTCTTCCGTTAAACGCAAATATTCCAAAATATTCCACTTATATGCAGAAGTAAAACTGTAAGTAATTATAAGAGTAAAAGGTCATTGTCAACTATTCGATAATTATTAAGTATTCATTCCAGTAATTATTAATTTTTTTTTCTTTCCAAACATTTCACGTCAATACGTCAACAATCTACGTGAACTATCCTTTAGTGTCCTTCGATAATAGAATCTTATATCATTTGCAAATAATAATAGCTCTAAGAATGAAATTCTATGTAATTATTAATAACTATAAGAGTAACTAATCCAATGAACGTTCTTTCTTTTTTTTTTACAAAAATGGATTTTATGAAACGCACGTAAAAAAACAAGAAAAGTATGCTGAAATTATTAATAATGAATCGGTCATTCATTAGCACTCATCCCTAATGAATCATTCATTTTCACTACCCAACAAATATCATTAAACAAAACGAGCGCAGCTGACTTCCCTCTTCCTCTCCATCCATCTTTGTTGTCATCCTTTCTCACCCATACCCATACCACTTTGACAATTGTCTTTCAAAAATTTCCTGTCACTAAATTTAATCATTTGGCTGTCATCGAAATGAACCGCAATCCTATGAAAAGATAAAAATAATAGAATAAAATCAATATGGGAGTATTTTTCTCTATCTTTGCCTAATTTTGACTTTCTTTTTTTAGATTTTCCCCATTTAGTAATTTCTGATTTTTGTCTTGACATTAATAGCAACGAATAGATTTGTGAATTAGTAAAGTATTTGTTCATGGGGAGAATTGAAAAAGAGATAATCATAGTAAAAAGTAGGATGAAAAAGACAAATCATTGATATTACTGATATTATTCCCCGCTCTTTCTCGACTGACCACCAGATGTTCAGCCACGGGTTCCTTTTTCTTTTTTTAAGTTTATTATTTACATCTTCGAGAAAGTGTAAAAATGAAAAGCGTAATGAGGAATTGACAGTAATTAATAATTGTTAGAATTGTTACCATTTCAATAGCCATAAAATTAGAAAGTTTCCATTTAAATTTTCTTTTTATTTGCATTTAAATCGCAGCTTATTAGTTTAGAGATAATGTGGCTTCGCCATATGATAGCATATCGACGAGTGACATGTGAATGGTTTGTCACCAGCGCTTACAATACTAAAATTACTACCGCACAATATTATTCACTTAATGATCCTTCAAAGGTGCTGCTAATGACGCCATCAGGTTTGATAATTTATCCTTTTTTCTGCTTTTTAACCTCTTGACCTTTTATTTAAATGAGTCGGAAATTTGAGAGCATAAAAGTTCCATTTATTCAGCAATAGATTGTACGATTCATATATATTTTTTCATTTTTTCATTCGTAATAGTCAAGAATTGGTTATTCGAAATTCTTCGAAATTTATCGATCGCTTTAATAATAGTTTCTAAAAGTACTTTTATCAGTGGTGAATTTTCTTTGAAATCCTGAAAATTACAGGCATTATCGAGTCATTCACTTCTAATATCAATTATGCTTATAACATCATGATTATTTAGTCATCACTGTCAATCATGGTAAATGTCATCCAGATTATCAGGAATGTCTTTGCATTTCTGGAATATTCCAGCGATAGAGAAAGACCAATAAACTTAATTAATTGAAAAGAAAAAAGTATTAGTAATTTGCAGGGAATCCGGAAAATAATACAAAAGGATGGATTTCCCTTGGTTCTTTTGGTATATTAACTTTGGTTGGTAGCGCAACATTGCTAAAGAATCTATTTCGAACTGGAAATACTGATGCACGAAATGATATGAAAATTAAAAAAAGGAATGATTTACCTTCATATCGAATGGAAGAAGTGAAAAAACATGGAAAAAATGCCGAAAGTATTTGGGTTACTTATCAAGGGGTTTGCCATTTTTCCAATAATTTACTTTAACTGCTATTAATTATTGTATCAATCATTATTATCTTCTGTTTAATTTTTGATCAAATATTTTGATTTAAACATTTTATCATATTTGATAATTTAAATAATTAAATATTTTATGCGTCTTATTTTTCAAATGAATTGATGTGTTTTGTTTACTATGTTATTTAGCTTATTGCTTGCTTAATTATTTACATGAATTAAATCATGCAAGACACTTTTGGAGGGTATATAAATTTAGTTTTCAATTGTAATAAATTTAATATTTATGATATGTTTATATGAAGTAGACAAATGGGTTTGGTTAAGCAATTAATAATTTAATAATTCCGAGTTATCATTTATACAATTTCTGCAAGCTACATTGATGTCTGTTAATTACGGGATATGCTTTCTAAACAAATTAATAGAAACTTAATGAATTAATTCACATATAAGGTAAAATATTGACACAACACAAACTTCCTTAACATAATATTGTTGAAAAAACCCAACAGTTAGTTTTGATGATTTAAAAAAATTAGTGGATTTGAAATCTCGAATTATCACAAATTATAATCCTTTGTTTTTTTTTTTCATTATTTTAAACATTCTCATAGTTCGGTAGTTTTCCAGGGAGTATATGATATCACGAATTTCATCCAAAGTCATCCGGGCGGTGATAAGATACTGCTAGCAGCAGGAGGCCCAATTGATCCATATTGGAATATCTACCAGCAACATCTAACTGAAGAAACACTCGAAATATTAGAGGAATTGAGAATTGGCAATTTGGATGAAAGAGATATCATGGTCATTGAACACAAGGTTTAATCTTATCATGTTATCATATTTATCAGGGAAATGCATAAATATGCATGCTGCTTTCATTTAAAAAACTAATAATATTTAATATTTTCTAAATTAAACTATTCCGTAATATTATATATTATTTCACTTTCAAATTTACAAATCTTTAATTATCAGGAGAAACTTGACAGCAGCACAATTTTTTACTAATATTTTACATTATTTATATCTCAAAAAAGAAATGCTTTGTTTTGCTTTTTCTTTTAAATGTTTGTTGTCTTCAGGATGAAAATGATCCGTATTGTGATGATCCGAAACGACATCCAGCATTAATCGTAAAATCTGAAAAACCTTTTAATGCTGAAACTCCCGTAGAATTGATTATGGATAATTTTTACACACCCAATGATTTATTTTATGTGCGAAATCATATGCCTGTACCAGCTGTAAGTTCAATTCAAAAGATATTTCTATGAAATTTATACTTGTTTACTTATCTATTCTCTCGATTGGATAAGTGAGAAGCCAAAAAAATAATTTATTACCAACAATCATGTTTTTTTGAATGTATAAAATCGATAATTTACAAATGATAGTGCAAAATTAGGCATAAAAATAATTGAAATGGCGCAACATTTTTTAACTAATTAAATGATTGATTAATAATGAAAGTTTACTAAATCTTAGAATTTTTTTATTTTTTTTCAACCTTTATTTCTTATTTCTAATTGCTACAAAAGTCAAATCAATCACTGAACAAATGTTCATTTTATATTTTTCGTAGGTAGATTGACGCAAAAAAGCACAAATTAAAAATCGAAGGTATTTCCGTTCGGGAATCATTCACGCTTTCATTGGATGATCTAAAACGTGACTTTGTATGTGTATCCGTTAATGCTACTTTGCAATGCGCCGGTAATCGTCGCAGCGAAATGAACGCAATAAAAAAAGTAAGAAAGTATTTTGCTACTTTTATCCTGTATGTTCGATCAGTATTGATTTCGGATTGTTAATTTTTAGTTGTTGAATTTTTCCCACCAATCATTACAATCGTTAATTTCGAACCCGTTGAACGATGTTAAAAGGAGGAAAGAGACTAATGTTTTATTAATGCATATCAAATCTTAATGATTTTTTTCTTCACTGGTCTCAATAGAAATATCATAATTTCGTAAATATCATGAAATGTCATGCAATTTTTTGTCTTGCAATGAAGAATATTGTTATATGCAAAAGAAAGAAGAGATTAAACTTTAGGTTCAAGGATTGAATTGGAAGGGTACGGCAATAGGTAATGCAAAATGGACCGGTGCACGGTTAAAGGTATAATTCTGATTCTTTATGATTATTAAATTAATTTGAAATGTGCAACTTTGACTTTTATGCGAGAATTCGAAAAAATAATTGTTCTGATAAATTAAAAATCATTCAGTTTATTCCAAAATTTTTTCTGAAATCTAATGCTAATTTGACTTCTTTTTTGCAGCTTTTTGATTTCACATTTGAAATACTGTTCAGGATGTTCTGATGAAAGCAGGCGTAGATCCAAATGATAAACGTATCAAGCATGTCATATTTCGTGGAGCTGATATGGATAGTGAAGGTATTATATTATATAATTTCCATTAAGCATGCTATTTTAGGATTGAAAATTGTAAGGTTGAAATGATTTTCCAGCAAGTTTTTGCATTTATCTCAAGGTCATTAATATCAGTGGAAACGATCTGTCCATAATTTTCATATGTTCTGATTGGTTAAAAATTATAGTTTGAAAGTTATTATTATTATTGTAGGTAACAATTACGAAACTTCAATAACGTTTGAGAAAGCTATGCAAGATGAAGTTATTATTGCTTATGAGATGAATGACGAGGAAATCCCACGTGATCATGGATATCCAATGCGATTAATTGCCCCAGGTAAATGTTTCCAAAATTTCTCCATCAGAAATTCAATTGAATATGTAATTACGCTTAGTTGCACCGTTTTGATAACATGAAAATTTTTCCTTTGTTCATTTATATCGAACAAATAGAATTTCATTCTTTACTTATTTGAGTAACGCCTGTTTTTCTCCGGTTTTACTTTTGGTTTAGCATTCATAATAAAATACCCATTACATTAAATGTCTCAATAAATTCGATATTTATTAATAATCAGTATCAAATCGTGTCATTTTTCCTATCTGTTAAATGCATCGGTCATTGAAAACACTTCTTGAGCAATGTATGCTTTAATTCCCTTAAAAAATTAATAATTTCTTGCACCACATACCTTTTGCATGTATATTATAAGAAAGTCTTTTGAAAAGTTATAAACAGATAAGTAAGCCTACCACAAGCTTATTTGTACATTTGATAAGAGAAAATTAAAATTTTCCCAAAAATTTTTAAAAAATTAAAAAAATGAAATTCATTCAGTTCGAGTGATGAGAAATTTGTAGGAATTGTGGGCGCACGTCAGGTGAAATACCTTTCCGCTATAGTTCTGAGCGAGGAAGAAAGTAAATCGCATTGGCAGAAAAGAGATTACAGGTAAGTCGTGAAATCATTTAGATTTGTTACTTACCATCGTAATGAAATGGATAAATTTAAAAATAAAATTTTATTTGGATAAAATCTATTTACACTCTAATCAGCCAGTTTGTTTATTTTTGTGTTTCTTTCAGTATCAGTTTGATTACTTCTTTGAAATCTATTTAATTGATAATAGCCAACTTGAAAAGGTCATTCAATGTATTCATATCCAAAACTGTAGTAGAAGTTCGTTTATTAAAAAAGAAATTTGTGATGTATCTTTTGGATTTCATAAAATCAACTTTTCATGTTAACTTCAATTTTTCATCTTTTCATTTTTCATGTTATTAGGTCAGTTGTTTAGTCTTTTTATGATGACATATGATAGGTAGCTTTACTTGAAGTTTTAGAAAAATATCATATTGTACCTGAGTACTACCAAGCCTTCATTTCCAGGTTGAATTATTTCATAAAAAAAAAATCAAATCAACTAGATTACAGAGACACAAACAGGGATTGATATTTCAGAGGTCTTCCGCCATTTGTTGGTCCAACAGATCATCAAAATTTCGAACTGGCACCATCAATACAAGACTGTCCGGTACAAAGTGCTTTCTGTTTTCCGGCTGCACCAACAAAAATACCACGCTGTATTTTTTCTTTTATTCTTTATGAACAGATAATAGTTTCGTTTTGAATTAATTTATCATTTTTGATGAGAGTATAATTCTTGTCTTGTCAAACCTAATTTCCTTATTTAACAAATAAAAAAAGTGACCTTTGGCTTGGAATATGTAAAGTTTTGTTCCAGATATTAAGATATTATTGCATTAATACCAGAAATATCGTGGAAAAAAATTTGTAGTATTACAGTGTTATTTATCGTAAAATAAGTTAAATGTTAGTATTACAGTGTTATTTATCGTAAAATAAGTTAAATGTTCAGGTAAAATAATCAATAGATGGTATTAATTTATCAAGGTGTAACAACTAGTATTATAGAATTGAAGTTTTTGCTTCTTTTGTATGTAGCCAATGGTCAGTTTGATGTAATGGGTTATGCTTGGAGTGGTGGTGGACGTGGTATTGTACGCGTGGAAGTATCAATGGATGGTGGTGAAACATGGCAAGCTGCTGAGCTAATACAAGATCCTGAGCAAGATATTGTATGTTTTTTGTATCTAAATTTGAACCAGAATTTTGAATTCTAATTGTTCTGTAAAAGCTGTAAAAGTGAAATGGAATTTCATAATAAATTATTCCAAAAGCAGTAATGAATTAATTATTTATGTAAAAACTTTTAAAGGATCATATGTGGTCATGGACTTTCTTCAAATCAACAATAAAAATACCAGATGACGTTAAACAGTTGGATTTAGTATGCAAGGCAACTGATCGTTCCTATAACACGCAACCGGATACATCCCGAGGAATCTGGAACATTCGTGGTTTGCTCAACAATGCTTGGCATCATGTTCCGATCGAAATCACCGAGAATTGATTCATATTTTGTACAAAATTTCATTTCATCCATTTGTTGTTTCATTAATTTCAAACCACAAACTCTGCGAAGATGATTTTAACACTCGTGGAACAGTTTGGAGTTTAAAGATCAGTTAAAAAATTACTTTATTTCACAATTATTAGTCCCTTCTATAAATTATATTTTTTGCTCCATTTTATGATGCTCCATTTTATTTTTTGCTCCATTTTTTTACCATTTTATGATTTTTTGGTTGTTTGCTTCTTTTCGAATTATCGAAATTTAAACAATTACAAATTGACATCGCCAAAAGTTTGTTATATCTAGAAATACTATTTCATTTCGAAAACTTTTACAAATCTGGTATTTTATAATTCACACCTCCCTGTTGATCATATAATGTAAGCGAATAACAATCGATAATTTGTACTCAATTATACTATTCTGCGATCAGTTTACTTTGTGATTCCGTTTCCCTTATAATCAGTTAATCAATAGTGATCATTCCGTTTTATTCTTTCGTGACCAACTTATTCGCAAAATTCGTTCTGTTGTTCGCATCAAAGAACCTATAAATTACTATTAAACTTCGAGTGTTTTGTATTTCGCATATTATTAGCAAAAAAAAAAAGAAGATATATCATGAAAAAGTTATCAGATTTTTTATGGAATTATTATCCGATGAATATTGCTATTATGAAAAATTGAAATGTCATGAGAATAATGACCGAATGGAATGTTCGATATCCGGTATTTTTTTCATTGGAATTGATGTATTTATTGTGAAAAAGATTTTCCGGAGAAGAAAAAAACAAAATTTTGTTTATGTGGCTTCAGATTCCTGAAACTTAAAATGCACAAATGATCATATAAGGATATCACTTAACATTTCTTTAAAGTTGAATGTTACTGAAAAGTTTTTTTTGCGAATTAGTCAAGCTAAATAATAATTCATTAAAATTTATCAATCTCATATATTTAACTCTAAGTGACAACTGTTATGTCGCATATCTATATGGGAAGTTTATTGATTTCTTTAAAAAATAACATTGCTTGTAAAATATGTTTTGGATTAATTTTAAGGAAAATTGTGTGCAAATTAAGTTGATAACAAAATTTATGCTTAGTTTTTAAATTATTAAATGGCTTCATTTGTCAGTTTTTAATAGCTTTGTTTAGTACTTCATTTTCATGCTTTCTGCAATTTAAGCCCAAAATTTGCTAAAAAATTTATTTCAAATTCTTCAGTAAAAAAATTTTAAAATCTGTTATCTCTAAAATGACAATCGCCACCTCTCATATTTGTATCTTTTGTGGATTTTTTTCCCCATATCTCTAAATTATTATTTTATTTCGTAAAAAACATTAAAATAATTTTAAAATTGACAAAATTATAAAATTAAAAATATAGCAAATTTGTGTAATAAATGCTGCATTGTTATTAGTATAATTATTGAATTTTTGTCTTTCCAAGGTAAAAATAGGAAAAAATATTTTTTAAAATATTAATTAGTACTTAATTGTTGTCATTGTTTTAGTACATTTTCAATCGTTCATAAAATATCTTTATTATCATATTTCATTTTAAATTTTTAATAATTAATGACAACAACGATTGCAGCTCTAATTAATTAATATATGATGAGAAACGAATGATTCGTTATTTGCTCAATAAATATTGATTGATTGATATTCAAACTTTACTGTATTCATTTACGATACTCTTTTCAATACTTTCATGTATCATTATATTATGTTGACCTAAGTTGAAACAAAAAAAAAAAACCCATCATTTCGATGATATTTCATCGAAAAACATCTATAATTATCGATAACGAAGATAGCAATATTAATGATAATCTTTCTTTCTTTTTCCGTTATTAGTTTTTAACTTCCCCAAAAATTTTTTTAAATTTCAACACTCCAAAATATCATTGATTCGACATTTGTTTATTATTTATTGATTAGAAAAAACAAATATAGGTGAAAGGTCAAAGGATAAATAGATCAAAAGTAGTGTAATTTGCATATCTTTAATGTTGTGAAGAATTTGAATTAGACTAACGAAAAGTATTCATTGATATGAATAATACTAGAATTATGATATTACACTTGTCTTATTTGTAAAAAGGAAAAAAAAACAATAATTGGTAGAATATCAGAATTATTCATATCAGAGACTTTTTTTAAAAAAAAAATGACAAAATGAAAGATGACAGTAAATTACTCATAAATTATGTTAAGCTTTCGATCAACATTTGCTATTCATTGTAATCGATTAATGAATGTCCTCGCAATGACATGTGACATATCATTATTTTAAGCATGATAATTATGTAAATTAAGCAAGAAGAAAGAATACTATCACTTCCCAGCTAACAATGATACTGTTAGCATATCATTAAAGGAATTTTATAAAATCACATCGTATCAATAATTTATGGCAATGAATTTTAGAAGTATACCAATTCAAAAATATATCATATCTTTTAAGCATTTCTATATCACATGGAACATGCAACCATTTGTTAAACTATGCAATTCCGGAATGAAAGAATCGGCATAAATCCAGAAATATAATCAACAGGACAAAAGATTGATGAAAATGCAAAAGTAGTAATTTATGCAATAAAAAGTTGTTTATTATCAGATCAAAATAATCAATTCTATAGTGAAATAATTTATGGAAGAAAAAAGGAAATCCTGTTAAAAGAAGAAAATACGTTATTTGGAATAAGAATTACAATGATTATTGCCATTATGAATCTGTCGTTAGGAGTAATTTACTAATTAACTTATTTTACTAATTAACATATTTGATTTACTAATTAACATATATTTACTAACTGACATATTTACTTTACTAATTGACATATCTTTACTTCCCTTTAATTTGTAATTTTAGATGAGAAATACTTGTGAAATATTTTGTCTTTCAGGAAATTACTCAGGACAAACATGAAACGATAGATAACGATCATATCAAAATCGATTTGATAATTCCTGGTACAGTTTCATGAAACAGCAACAATGACAGTATGAAATATGGAAATAAAATACGGTGAGACATTATCATATCCAAAATATATGAATTGAAAAATACTGTAGAATGTTACAACAAACAAAGAAAATATGGAAAATGAACAAATATATGCAAAGAAACGTTTTCAAATTCTCATTTTAAATTTAATTTTCAGTTAGTTTTGAAAATTTCATATTTCGATTTCTTTAAAAATATTTCAATTATTACAAGATTTAAAAAAAAAATCAGAAAGTTGTAAATATTTCGCGCTAAAAAAAAGAACTTTGCATTAAACAATTATTTTAGAATTGAGAAGTTTGCAATGATCGGAAGTTTGAATTTTTTACGATTAATACTTTGGGAATTGAATTTATTAAAATTACTTCTGAAATATTCAGGAAATCAGGATTTTCCTGAAAGCGTTTATTTTTTCCATTGAGAAATACCGGAAGTTTATATGCCTTAGAAAGGTCACCGTGAAAAGTTTTGATTGAAAATAAATATAAACTTTCAGCAAATGGTCGAATTAATTACTGAACGTTAAGAAACTATTAAAAGCACTTCGTTTGTTTATTAGTAATAGCCATATACATAGCTATAAAATGAATTAGAATATACCTCATTTCATGCATAATTTATCGATTGATTTAATTTATGATTTATTGATTAATTTTTAGTTTATTCATATTATCCATAGAAGAATTCAATGGAATTTGAAATAAGTGATGAATGTTTTCAAGATATTAATTATCAGCCAACAATTTCTTCAGGTAAATCTATTGCTAAAAACTTTTGCTGAAAATTTTATAATTTGATAATGTCATAGGTCAAATTACATCTCCTGATACAGATACATCGTCTCATTACACTTGTATGGATGATTGATTCATTGATATGAACAATTGGAGTGATTAATGGCTTTAAGGCAATGTTAACAGTAATTGTAACCTTAAAACATTCAAGAGTTTTTAGTTAATATTTATCTATCATCCTTAACTCAATTATTAGCTATAATTATCATATGATAAAGCAACAAATTTAATCTTTTGCTTTTAATAATTCATCGTAAAAAGCGTAATTAGCTAATTGTATGAGTTAGCTAAAAAATGTTTGGTTTATGATTGTAATTGAATCTGTTAGCCAAAATCAAATTAGCTGTGATATTTACGCTGCAAGCATATGAATGATCAAACCATTTTGTCAATTTTTGAAATCCTTGTTTAAATCCTTGAAAAGTCTACGAGAATCTTTGACGCTAAATTCTTTCTTACACAACTTTTTTCATCTTTTTCTCGTTAAAATATATTTATTATTAATAATTAAATTATTAAAAATATACCCAATAAATGATTTTGTTTTAGCTATCATTAGCAGTATCGGATGGCGAAAGATAAAGAAGCTAATTAAATCTTATGATTTTTTAAGTTATTAATTAAGTTCATAATATGATGCCATCGTTCGTACCGTAATTGGCAATTAATTCTAATTTCATTAAATGATTTCCATTTGAATCAATTTCATTAAATGATTTTATTGATGATTGATTAAGTTCATGATATGATGCCATCGTCCATACTGTAATCGGTGCTTAATTTTAATTTCATTGAATGATAATATAGTAAATATTTTTCCAGCTATTTGATTGATATATTTAAAACAACCAACCGATCAATTTGTTATTTTGCCACCAAAGATGAATAGCTTAATTAATTTCAACAATCATTAACAATATTAATATGTCTTCTGTACAGGTCAGATTGAAATGACCACTCAGGCAATATAAAGTAGACCATCTATAATAAATGTAGTGTTATAATTAATGATTATAATTAACCAGTTATCCAAATAATACTAAATTTTGATAATCAATGAATGCAGAATGGTTTATTTACTAATTGCGAGTCATTTTTCAATCAAACACAATTATTATTTTACAAATTAACTCTTGTCATGTGACATATTACTGTAGAAAATTTAGCAATGATTACTTCTGATAGCGTGTTAATTGATATGTTGGATAAGCATTCAAAACATTACAGATTCAATTTAAGTAATGAATTAAAACAAGTATTTTATAATTTTTTGAATAAAATATAATAATCAAATATATTGGATAATGAGTTGTAAATTGTTATTTTCATCGAACCTGTTTTTCATATTTTATCTAATCTTATTTTATGGGATGAAAAATGTTAACGTTAAATTAAAAATAACACTTAAGATAATATTATAACCTGCAATAGTGTATGCCTGTGTGTGTGTGTGTGTGTTTGTTTGTTTGTTTTCTTTTTTATTTTCATCCAATTCTTTTCATTTCGAATATGAATTATATGTTTAGAATTTGAATTTGTTTTGATCGAAATGATTGAAATGATCATTATGTAATCAGTTGATAAAGAATTTACATATCAAAAAGTACAAGAAATGCTGATTATGTGAAAATAAATTAAGCAATCTTATCATCATACAATCATAAATATATTAACTTACATTTATTAGCTATCATAAATGAAAAATTTTTACATTCATTCGTTTGTTCTTAATTCCAATTATTATTATTATTATTATTATTTTTTTTTTGAATGCAAAAAATGAAAATAAAAATGGAAGCAAAAAAAAAGAAGCAAAGAAAAAGGGGCAGAAATAGGAAAGAATTTTATAAATTTTTTTTAAAGAAAAAAAAAGAATAAGAAAGCAAAAGATTTGAAAAATGATGTTACATTGAAATAAAACTAATTCCCTGAGGCATTGATAACCTGCTGGTTTTCTTTTTTTTTTGTTGCTTCATTTTTCTTTAAATTACTTTTTAGCTCTATGAAATTAAATGTCCTCTTTAGTTAACTTTTTAGGCGTCTTTTCAACATTTAAACAAACATTTCACTTCAATGAATGTCGTTGCAAATGAAACAATAAGAAATTAGCACAAAAATAATTAATTATTTGCTTTGTATGTCAAATACATTTACAGTTATTAAATTTTGTGAAAAAAAAAAGTATACTAGAAAGAAAATTAAACCTATCTTTATTCATTATTTAGTAGCATAGACTAGAATTTCGCAAAGAAAATCAAAAGAAAAAAAAGGATTATTGATCATCCAAATTTAATCAATTTTATAATTTGAAGCATTAATTTCAATTAATTTTTTTTTTCAAACTTAAAAGAAATGCTTCCATTGCTATGGAATTGTGAAATGAAAATCCAAATTTGGATAGGAATTTATCAATTTGAATCAATCCTAAAAGAATGAATATTATTCCAATAATTTCTAATCAAAACATTCGAATCTAAAGAATGATAGGGGAAAAGAGTGAAAAACGCTTTTGAATTTTTCATTAGTAAATTAATTTTAGCTGTTTTCTGGAAATCTGAAATGCCTTCTTTTTGAAACAAAGCCACAAAAATTGCATTCAAAAAATGTGTCAAGAAAAGATTCACCAATGAACAACATTTCCATGATTGATAGTTCCGGATCGTATTTCAGGTATTGCATAAATGTTCTTCTTTTTTTTTTGCCTCCAAACCAATCGAAAGAGAATAATTCGTTTCAGTCCTGTAAATATGATTGGAAATAATCTAAAAAATGGATCATTTGTGAAATAATTGGTCAATTTTTGATTTACCCAAAGAAATGAAAATACTTATTTCAATATTAACAAAAGAAAAAAAGTAAAAAATTAATTTTATTGATGTTCAACTTTTGAACTGCATGTAATATACGAAAGTTTTCTTATTCTAATCATTTCGTCAATTTCAACAGGAAAAAAAAACAGTTAGAATTGAACTAAGAATTAAAATCAGAGTAGAATTAGGATTAGAATAAAATAGGATTGCAAAGGATCTTTACTGCATTTGATTGTAATTCCATATTTGTACAATTCTAATTCTATTCTGTTTCTAATTTTATTCTAATTCAAATTCTGATTTCAATCCTAATTCTATGCGCACTTTTATAATTGCTAATATGAAATGCATTCAGTCTTTAATTATTTTGCTTTTATTCTTTGACAGAATGGTTCAGATGCTTTACAGATCATCAACATTTCATTGATATGCAAATTTTCATGTTTGAAATAAATTTCGAATAAAAAAGTCCTGGAAGAACGAAAAATTACCTTCAAATAATAAATGATACAAATGTATTGAAAATTTTTTATGTCAAGAATAAACAGTAAACTAAGTGTTAATTTATAAGAATTAATTAATGATTCATTTATTGGATAGTTATCTCTATTCTAATTTTTACTAAATGTTTATTCCATATAAACTTTACTTTCAGTGTGATTAGAAAATAGCAAAAATATTAATTAATAAAAATAAACTTATTTTTAGTGTAATAAAAAGGATAAACATGAAATGATGAATAAGTAGTGGGCAAAATCCGAAATTATACCTGCCACAGATGGTTTACTTGTTCAATCTTTGATCCATCCAGATGAGCTATTTGATTGATTGGTATGCAAATTAATTGATTTTAATTAATAGAATTTGGTTGTTTAATGAAATTTCAAAATTCTGCACCATTCAATTTACAATTCCATTGTTGCATTTTCAATTTTCTCAGTGTTTTTTTATTTGTTCATAACTTTTGAAAATATTTATCTGATATCAAATTAATATTATAATGTTTACGAAGATATTAAATATAATTTAAAACACTGTGAAGAGAACGTTTCCAAAAATTTATTCTAAAAATTTAGAATGTTTCTAAAAATTTAAAAAAATTAAAAAATTAAAAAGAAAGTTTCGAAATTTATTACCATTTCAACATTAAACTAAAGTATTTAAAAATGTTTTACTACAAAAAGAAGAAAAACGAATAGCGACGATCTTATATCAGATAAGTAAAATTCTTACGGTACTTTTATTATAATATATAAGGCGACTTTAATAAATAGAAATTCATTCAAACTAGTTTTCGTTTTTTTTTTTTGTCTGTTATTTATTTATTTATTTATTGTTTTTAAATATATCTTTTAATAAGCCCAAATAATGAATGATAGAATTACTGTTGTTCAAAAAATTTTTTATTTTCAAATTAATTGTTCGATTGAATTTTTTTTCGTCAAAATTTAACTCTTAGAAAATGGAAAAATTATTAAAAGACTGTTTTTTTGTTAAATTTATTGTAAATATTCAAAAATTCACATTTTCTTTGTTGTGTGTGTGTGTTTTTTTTAAAGTCATAAAAGGAATATGAAAATTAAAAATAGAAATAATGCTGAAATGATATCGTTGACAAAAAAAAAAAGCGGAAATTTTTAAAAATGGCTTCGTTTGTTGTTAACCAGTGGCTTTTTTTTCTTTTTTCTTTTTAAAGTTCTTAACAGATACAGATTTTTGACATTGTCAAACAAATGGTTGTAAATGTCAACAGATCCTGTTATCTGTAAAAATGATGAAGAATGAAAGAAATAAAAATGATGGAAAAAGAAATGGAAGGAAAAACGATAAAAGAAGATTAAAATGTTCTCTTTTGTTCGCTGATAACACCTTATCAAATTTGTTTGTTTGTTTATTTGTTTGTTTGTTTATTCATTAATAACACCTCATTTTGTTCGTTCATTTATTTCGTTCACTGAATGACACCTTAATTAATTTGTTTGTTTGTTCATTGAAGCATCTTATCTAATTTGTTTATTTGTTTCTTTGTTTATTCGTTAGCTTATTTGCTTGTTTGTTCATTTACTAGCTTGTTTATTTGTTTGTTTATTCGTTAGTTTGTTTGTTTATTTGTTTACTGATAATAACTAATCAAACAAATTTGTTTTGTTTCATATTTTTTTGAACAATGTTTTTAACCTTTTTTTTTGAACATATTAATTTAATCTTAAATTTATTTATTTTCTTCCATAACCATTCGTTAAATCGAATTTGTACAAAAAAG